TGGCAGTAGTGAGAAAAGGCCGGGGAGGGGGATCCATCTCATCAACAAGGATACCTGCATAATGAACATTTGTATACCTAACCCTGAATTGTACTCCACATCTTTAAAATAAAAAAACTTTTAAAAATTAATAAATAAAGTATTTAAAAGAGTGTCTGGCACATGGTAAACCTCAATAAATGTCATCACTCTCATTTTTCCTTTTCATACCAACACCCTTACCAAAGTCATGAAAACACCTCTCACAGCTACTTCAGACTTCCTAGTCATTTCACTAGTCAAGATTCTGCATTCATCTTTATACCAGCCATAACTCATCCATTCACTTATTTATGTATTCGCTGAATAGTCCATGAAAAATTACAATATGCCAAGAACTGGCTTTAGTCTTGGGACTGCAATAGAGAGCAAAACAAACCCAGTCTCTGCTCCCATGGAACTAATAGGCCACAGAGCAGGGGTCAGAAAACAATGCTTACAACCAAACCTGGTCCACCATCTGATTGTGTAAACAAAACGTGTTGGGATACAGCCACACCTGTGTCTTTGTGTTTTCTATAGGTGCTTTCAACAATGGCAGAGTTGCATAATTGTAACAAAGTCTGTATGGCCCACAAAGAAAAACTACACACTGCCCAGATCTTCACAGAAAAAGGCTGCCAGCCCTTTTTCCAGTTGCAAAAATATTAAATTCCACTAAGAGCAAAATGACATCGTTAGAGAGCCTATTGCTACACCATGCAGTCATCTGTACATAACGGATGAATACTGTTTGTCTCATCATTCTGTCATTTTCTGTACACTTTTCATTTAAAAGTTAATTACCTCGGCCTGTTGTTCAGTCCTTGGGCACTACTTTCCTTCTCAGTCTAAACTTCACCTGTCCTCACCCCTCAGTCCCTGCACTCCTAGAGGCAAATCTCACTTCAGAGGCCTTCCCTAAATTCACTGAAATTGCATAGGTGTCCTTTCTGCAGGCTCCCATAGTACCTATTTGAGCACTTGTCCCATTGTATTAAAATTATCTGCTCTTAATCAGATTCTTTCAAAAACCAGCAAGCCTGTGAGATCGAGAATGGAGCCTCCTATGTTGTAGAATCTCAGCACTAAGCACTGACAGACACCTAGCATGGAAAAAACAATAACAATAAATATTCTTTTAAAATTTTTTTCTTTTATTTGATTTGAAAGATGTGGAATACAATTCAGGATTAGGTATACAACTGGATGTTGTACAGGTAAAGTTTGGGCCTCCCTTTGCTCCCCACTTCACCTGGTTTGAGAACAGGTACCCTTATTGATGTTATGTGTCCCTCCTCCCCACAACTGCCAATCCCTTTCTAATAGTATTATAATAAATGTTCAGTGTCCTCTTATGAGTGAGAATATGTGGTACTCAGTTCTTTGATTCTGTGATAGATCACTCAGTATTATAGACCCTAAATCCATCCAAGTTGCTGCAAAATCCATAATTTGGTCCTTCTTTATGACTATGTAATATTCTATCATGTATAGGTTCCATATTTTTTTTTTATCCAGTACACTTTTGATGCTGCATGGTTGGTTCCATGTTTTTGCTATTGTGAATAATGCTGCAATAAACATGCGTGTGCAGGTATCTTTTTTATAGAATGATTTGAGATTCTCCGGGTATATTCCCAGAAGGGAGATTGCTGGGTCATATGGAAGGTCAATTTTTAGATCTTTTAGGAATTGCCACACCGTTTTCCACAAAAGATTGTACTAGTTTACACTTCCACCAACAGTATAGATGTGTTCTCTTTTTCCCCAAATCCTCTCCAGCAGCTGTTGTTTTTTGAGTTATTGATGGTGGCCATCCTGACTGGAGTTAGGTGGTATCTCAGTGTGGCTTTAATTTGCATTTCTTTGATGATTAGTGAGACTGAGAATTTTTTCATGTATCTATTGCATGCTCGTTTGTCTTCTTTTGAGAAGTCTCTGTTCATATATTTTCCCTACTTTTTAATAAGGCTGTTTCTTTTTTTCTTTTCAGCATCTTCGAGTTCCTTGTAGATCCTGGATGTTAGACCTTTATCAGATAGACAGTTGGCAAATATTTTCTCCCATTCTTTGAGCAGTCTCCCTGCTGTCTTGCTGGTATAAGTATTCTTTAAGTGAAGGTATCCTCACCTCTCCTTGTTTTTTCATTTCCCACTATATGGACACACACACGTCCCCAGAGTCTGCTTTTCCTCAGGGCAGGGTGGTATGCATGTGGTTAAAGGAAGAAATATTCATGAATTAACTTCAAGGGTTAGAAAAATATCACCCAAAGTGAAAAATGAAAACTAGAATCTTTTTGTAATTTTTTTTTCCTTATAGAGATGGAGTCTCATTATGTTGCCAGTCTGGTTTTGAACTCCTGGCCTCAGGTGATCTTCCCACCTCAGCCTCCCAAAAGTGCTGGGATTACAGGCATGAGACACCTCGCCCAGCCTACAATCTTTATTGTCTACATTTCACGGGGTATTAAAGCAGCTGGGGAACAAAAGAAAAATCCGACCTCACAGTAAATCATTCTGATGAAAATCTCTTTTGAATATAAGAAAGTATAAATCATATTTGGAAGTAATTTTTACATTTTTAAACATGTAGCTAATTGTTTCAGACTTAAAATTTTGAGAGAAACTATATTAGGGTCTAGTTTATTTAAGTTATTTTTTCAATAAGTTTAAAGCATCTGTATTAAGCTTGATGTGATATTTTAAAATTTGGATATTTTTATATTTGAGTATTTCAAATATCCAAATAAATGTTTTATTCCCATAGTATTATGTTATAGACCTTAAGTATGTGCATAAAAATTATTTTTAAAATTAATTAAATAAAACAAATATTTTACCATTATGAGTTCTGTCTATAAGGCAGTGAGACTAATCTTGTTTTTAAGCTATCTTTTCAAGTAGATCAAATGAACCACTAGATGGTGCAATTATCATTTTAAAAAATAATGACATTAGAGAGTTTTATATTTATTTGAACATTCTTTAATAAGAATTTAACTCGTTGTATTTCTTTTGTGAAACTAGTAACTCGTTCCATTTTTTTATATAGAAGGCCTTTACACATTTTACACTCTTTGTGATCCTTAAACAGTAAGCAAAATCATGTAATTTCATAGTACATTTATTCTGTATTTTGTTTGTCTCCATTTTGGAGAACATTCTACAATTTTTCCAACTTTTCTTTTTTCACAACTGTTAACTTAGATGCAACAAGCATATAAGTTGTACCAAACATAGCCAGGGTCAATGACATAAGTGAAAGTTCTGGAAGGAGGTGTGATCAGCTACTGTCTTTCCCCAGTCTAACCGATTCCAACTCTATACCTCCCACCCATCCTAGAACATGCTTTTTGATGAGCACTATTTTCAGATGGTTTATTGCTCTCTGGGCCTAGCAGGAAATTAAAGCAACCCTTTTCTCTAATACCCCGTTAGTGCAGTGTTGCCAGATTTAGAAAAAGGAAGAAAAAAGAAAATACAGGATGTCCAGATAAATTTAAATTTCAGACAAAAAACAAATAATTTTTAGTATATGTCAGATATTGTTTCTCTGGAATTCAAATATAGTATGGGACCTATTTATACTAAGAAAAATTATCCATTGCTTTTCTGGCATTTCAATTGAACAAGACGCCCTGCATCTCTACCTCTTTTTTTCCCTTAATTTTATTTTTATTTTAAGGATGTGGGGTACAATTCAGGATTAGTTATACAAGTGATCATCATACAGGTAAAGTTTGGGCCTGCCTTTGTTCCCCAGTTCACCTGGTTTGCGATCGGGTACCTTTATTGATGTGTGTCTTCCCTCCCTCCACTGGCAGGATCCCGCTACTGCCAATCCCTTTCTTTCAGTATTATGGCAAACGTTCAGGGTCTGCTTTTAAGTGAGAATATGTAGTACTCAGTTCTTTGTTTCTGTGATAGATCACTGGCAGCTCTACCTTTGATAGGCCCATCACAAACTTCCCTGCTGGATCCCTCCCAATATCATTGTCTAAACGCAGAGCCGATCTCTCTCCCAGCTGGCTACACCCAAGACCCCTCAGCCTCTGTTCCAGCTGCAAACTCTCACTGCCAAAGCCTCCCTAGCCCACAGGACACCTCTTTATTTTATTTTATTTTATTTTTAAATCAGGTGATGAATATGTTTATTCATGAGTGTATACATATGTCCAAACTATCAAATTGTATACCATAAATATATACAGCTTCTTTGTGTATCAGTTATATCTCAATAAAGCTGTTAAAAACATTGGAATCATGTCACAAGGATACTATTATTTCAAAAGAAAGTGAATTCTTATATTCTAAAAATTAACAAGGACTCCATATTTTGCTATACAATAAAGTAGATTTCCTTCTAGTAAGAAAAGTCTGCTACATGTTTCTGATGTTTGATTGCTCATCAAAAATGTATGAAGACTGCTCAAAGTAGATTTGACAAGGTTAATTCTGTAGTATTGTCAGGACACCTCTTGGTCAAGGTCCATTTCTCCGTGTCCTCAAGCTGGTGCTCCTGACTATGAGTGCTACCTGGGACACACTCTCATTTGACTCACCCCTGGGGGGTTTGTAAGTCCTGCCATCCCAGGAACTGGGCCTGTGCATTCACGAAAACCAGAGAGCACAGGCAGAGCTCTCCAAGTAGCCTGCTGAAATCTCCTGTCTCTAGGCTTGAGGCTGGGGACACCCTTGAGGGGGTATACGACTGGGCAGAGGGACTTCCAGGGGGGGTTGTCCAAAGAAATGATTCTCACAAAATTCTCTTTCCATTTCCACACTCTGAACCGTTTTCAGTCCTTGGTATGGAGTCCAGCAATCTTACAACGAGCTAATACTCTTTCCACTGTCAACGTGGATCTTGGTAGTTCGAATCACAATTCTCTTTGATATCTTGGAATCTCGGTAAACACGAACGTGTTACAGGGTCTGTGCGCCAGCACACAACGCCACTACTGTCTCTCTCACCCGCAGCTGTCACTATCCCACTGGGTGGAGAGGAGCACTGTGTGCCGAGACGGTTTCCCCCTGCGACCCTGAGCATGACCCTCCGCACCGCTGCAACCGAGGAGCCACCTGTATCCCCTCACCTCAAGGCTATGCCTGCCACTGCCCTCTGGGAACCACTGGGAGCTACTGTGAACAAGGTGAGGCAGGATTTCAATTCATTCTGCAGCCCACACGTGTGATTGAAATTGGCAACTCAAAGTCAGTTTTCTTCTTGGAAAGTAAACAAGAAATATATGTAGTAAAAGCAGAGCCCACTCTCCTCTCACCCCAGCAAATTTGACATTCTATTTCACAGATAGATTGGTACTCAAAATTCAGTCATGCAAAAACTCTGCTTTATGTCGAGTATTGCTTTCACGTGCTAACTCTAAACTCCTGGTACGTTTAGTCTAGACGATCTAGATGCTTAGCGCTAAATGCAGCTACATCGGGTGAGATTGGGTTTATAACGCAGTTCCAGAAGAAGAATCTGTGAGCCTCTTCCTTCTGCTCCTTCCATCTAACTCAAAATTCTCAGAAATATTGCAAGGCCAGCGGCCCCAGAGGGAAAGAAGAGAAATCTTTAGTGGAGTTATAGGGGAAGAAATTTTTAATCATGCCTTAGAGTGGCTATGAAATAATGAGACAGAGTTTTGTATCTGACTTACGGAAATTAGTCTCTTTCATAAAGACTTTAGGGATAGAGCTAGATCTTTAAGAAGCGGTGGTTCTTAGTTCCTGGAACATGCCACACACTTTGCTGGAGCAGAGATTTTGCACCTGCTCTTTCCTCTACCTGAAATGTTCTCATCTTCTCCTCCACCCCCAACGAACACTTAACCTGTGGGTCTCAGCTCAGACTTTGCTACTTTAGGACTGCCTTTCTTGACTGTCTTTCATAGAACTGGGGGCAGTGACCTGCCAGCAGAATCTCTAGTGCCCAAGGATAGTGCAGAGAATAAATATCTGTTAGACATTTCAACTTAATAGCCATAATAAAAACTGATGGTGATCATTTTCATGGAATAGTTCTTTCGTGAACAGCAAAGTACTCAAAATTTTACCAAGAAAAGCACCTCTATTACTCCCAATGGAATAACTATTTGAAACTGAAAGAAATAATAGGGCAAGGAATATGAGGGCTAGTGAATGTAACAAAATAATGCAAGCCAGATGTCTGAAGACTAAAGAATCAAATAACAAAAGTTTGAGAGAATAAGCAAAATTTGTGTGGGTGTATGGATGTATATAAACTGATGACAGATGAAGTTAGATAATAGATATATGATAAAGATAGATGATACATAGATAGATGATAAAGCGATAGATAGATAGATAGATAGATAGATAGATAGATAGATAGATAGATAGATAGATAGATGGTAAATAGATAGATGGTAAATAGGAAGAAATCGAGTAATAAGATTATTTCCATAGTCTAGAAAATTTGATAAAAGGTGCCAGAAAATATATGACATCCTCATAGAAGTCTAACATAAAGTTAACCAGAGATATACCTCGATATGCTATAAAATAATTTGGTTAGAATATTTTGCAATCTGGAGTAGTCATTAAAATATTACAGCAGAATTCTGGCTCACAACATATTTCAAAATAGACAGTATATCCAGTTTATTTTCTCATGCACTCAAATTTTGCTCGTGCTCATTTCTTTTGTGTAATAGCTGTTTTCCTGTTATAATTTATGACTTACAACTATACATTTAACCTTTCCTGAATTATAAAATCTCCTTTCAATTTATTTTTTCCTCATATTGTTGGTAAATTGCGTTTTTTACCTGGACTAGTTTTTACTCCTAAGTCCTAGTTATTGTGCATTGCTGACATTTAGCCAAGTTAGATTCCATAATGTGTGTGTTTTCAGATTTTAGCCAAGCAAATATTGAAAATGTGTCTTTTTTCTTGTTTTTACACTTTTTTCCATCCGTAATGTAATTTTCCTTTCACTCATTCCCTAAGGAAAAGAAACCCACACATATGCTGACATTGAAACAGTCAAATGTTCAAGCTACTTAAACATTTTTCTGATGCCAAGAATTCTTTATAGTCCAACCAGTCTCTGGTTTCCATTGAGATTAATTCTTGCTAACGTAAAGGTTCAATTCTTCAAGCTCTTCCAATACATGGGATGATTTCTGAATAAGTTCTTGCTTTTCCTTAATAGTATAGAAAACAGTTCACCTTGATGGCAGTTTCAGGGATCATTACTGTGTTTTCTTGTTCTAAGATACTCCTTTTCAAGAGCATTTGACCATGTTGGGAACACAGAGGTAATGCAAATGCTTTTTTCATAGGGGAAAAAAAGAGCTTTATTCTCTATTAATCTCCCCACTTTCAATACCATGATGATCGTTAATAGAGATGTACTTACATGTGTACCCAATTCTCTGTCTCTCTGAAACAATAGTCATCAAAAGTGAAAAATACATAGGCACTAGCTATGATTCCAAGGAACACACATTTCACTTTTTTACTCTTTCTATGCTACTTAATACAGCCTGCTAAACCATATGTGAAACTCATGGTGAAGTATATATAATAAGTATATACAATAATATGTAACAATTCTAAAGTTTATGTGAACATCATGCTTTGTAGCATTTAAAGGAATAGTTGTGGCAGCTAAGCCTTAGTTGAAGGAAACGGACACACCTGCCATTTCCTAACCCTGGACATTGGGCAAGTAACCTCCCTGAACATCAGGTCTCTCATGTGTGAGAAAGGGATATTTATGAATCTCTGGCTGGGCACGGTGGCTCACATCTGTAATCCCAGCACTGCGAGGCCTAGGTGAGAAGATGGTTTGAGCCCAGGAGTTCAAGACCAGCCTGGGCAACAGAGTGAGATTTCCTCTCTATAAAAAAAATTTTTTTAAGTATCTAGGTGTGATGCCATGTGTCTATAGTCTCAGCTACTTGAAAGGTTGAGGCAGAAGGATCACCTGAGCCCAGAAGGTCAAGACCGTGGTGAGTCATGATGGTGCCACTGCACCCCAGCCTGGATGACAGAGTTAGACCATGACTCAAAAAACAAAATTTTTTTTGTGTGTGTTGGAGTCTCACTCTGTCACTCAGACTGGAGTGCAGTGGCCGCTCCCAGCCACCACAGCCTCGACCTGCTGGGCTCCAGCGATCCTTCCACCTCAGCCTTCCAAGTAGCTGAAACTACAGGCACGCGCTACCATGCCCAGCTAATTTATTTATTTATTTATTTATTGTAGAGATGAGGTCTTGCCAAGTTGCCCAGGCAAGAACCCGCGGGCTCAGGCAATCCACTCACTTCAGTCTCCCAAAGCTCGAACCCGCGGGCTCAGGCAATCCACTCACTTCAGCCTCCCAAAGCACGGGATTACAGGCTGAGCCACCGAGCCCAGCTTAAAATATTTTTTAAAACATTTGTTTTAGAAGAATTTTTGATCAAGACCCTGAAAGATTTTATTCTTCTTGTCAAGTCCTAAATTAATGATTACTACTTTTTATAAGGTAATGGGTGAAAAGTTAAGAAATTTAAGATACATACTATTAAGCATTTTTTCAATAGTTATTTTTCTTTCCTATTCAAGGTAGCATTAATAAGCAAAAACTTGCATTGAATGTTTAGCTCTTGATTGCTAAAATTTCCTCCCTAAAAATGTTTTATATATTGAGTCAGAAATACACTGCCTCCTTAGTCTAGGAAGGCAAACTAAAATGGTGTCTGTTTACAGTCTGTGTGGACAGGACTTGGTTGCTACTTCTCATGTAGGTCTGCCTGCCTTCTTATAGCCTGAGATGACTGGCAGTAATGAGATCCAACCCAAAACCTTACTTTTCTTATTTGGGGCACTTAAAGGAAGGCTTTTTCTAGTTTCTAATAAAAATATTACCAAGTGACAAGCAAACTGAAATTCTCATGAAAAATATAAAAATCACAAAATATCTCACTGTTTCACTTCCTCCTCTTGATAAACTCTGTTAAGTGTACATTAAGAAAAGTAGAAAAGCAAACTTTCTGGTATAATTTTCTTCTAATGGCCAAGGAATATCACAAAGCAAATGATTAAGAGAGCCCTATAGTCCAATAGCTAGAATTGTCTAAGGGTCTCCTAGCCACCCCCATACAGGTTACAATGGGGAATCAGTGAAATAAAGAGATCCCCACAGTACCTAGCACTCCATCAGCATTAGCTACCTCCTACAGAGGAAGGGGAAAATGCTAGATTACACTTGGGTTAAATGCAGGCCATGTCCTCATAGATAGATCACTTTCATTTTTAAAATATGGGTTAGTGTTAATAGATTTTTAAGTCAAAATACTTTAAACCTCCTGTTTAAAAAAGATAATAGTTTTACTATATAAAAGAAGCAAAGATTTTCAAACTGTTATGATAAATGTGATAGTCAAACTTTCCAAAATGGCCAAATAAAATATTTAATTAGAAAAACAATACTCATTCTCAATGGAGTGACAGCAGATTGTTAACATTTAAAATGCTATTTATGGAAAAATCATAAATTTAGGCAAAAGTCTTTGAAGATTAAATAAAAGTCTACAATTTGGGTAAAAGTTTAGGGGAAAAAAGCAAGAAATATCCCACGGTATTGAATTATTTAATTGTTAAATAAATGACATAAGAAGTGCATTACTTCTGGCTAGTGGGACCTGAATAGGACTTAGAAAGTGATGGAATTAAATCAGGCATTAAAGGATGTGTAAAATTTGAGTTGACTCATATGGGAGGGAGAGGTATCTTTCCTAAACGTGAAAATTACGTTGGCATAGCATAGGGAAGGATGGAGATATGGATTTGAATATATGAAACTCTTTCACCTAAAAAGGAAATTTGACAGGTAAAATTTGAATTATTAAAATATATGTGAGAATAGAAGATGTGAAAAACACTGGATTAAAAAATCACCAAGACTTGCTTACTGAGCTGGAGGGTGTGCCTTTCACATAGACAATGCTCAATTAATATTTGTCATTTGGATGATGATATTTCAGGTTTAAAAACTGGATGACATATACAGACAATCAATAAAAATCTTCTGTAAATAGCCTCTGAGGCTTCTAAAACAGCAATAAATCTTGCTATACAATTTACCTGGTTTATTATGGCACTTCCAAATAGAATAAGAGAGAGCTCACAGTAAAAATA